CCTATCCCTAAAAAATGCACCCCAAAAAAAAATTATTTTTCGAGATTTTATATTATAATTTCATTTTGATCTGGATTTCATTATGATCCGCCACAATAATTAATAAAAATAAAAAAATTCTTTTGATATTGAGCATAAAATAACTGTTTTACTATGTTAAATAGTTTATTATAAACCTTCATTCGCTTGAATTTGTTTAGTTATTCCACAAATGATGACATAATAATAACTATTTTGATTGGTACCACCTAAAAATAACATGCATGGTTTCGAAATGAACATTCTAAGAACATTCATATTTGAAAAAAGCGCAGGTGTGCGTTATTAAGTTAAAACAATACTAGAAATCTATAATCTATTGGCAATTTTCAACCATCCGTTATATCGATATAGCTTGATGTGAGCAACGCCATGAGAAAACCGGACTTTGGGCTTTCAAATTTATTATTTATTATTTACCGCACTCAGCCCTAAAAGACAATATATATGATATTTTTCCTTTTTATCGCTCAATAAAAAAATAAACTTATCATATTGATTATTAGATGGTCGATAAATTTTGTTCATAAAATCTATAGTTGCAGACATTTGGAGGATCAGAGGTACTCGCGTCATATAAAATTTATGTAGCGAGTCCATACGTCACTGCTATATATAAACCTGCGTAGCGGTAGTGTCGGAGGGAATTCTCCTAGCAAGATCCCATATATGTCTTTAACTAGGCTAAGTCTAGTAAACAATAAATAATAAACTTAGAGCCCAAAATCTGGGTTTTTTCTCGGCGTAATTCATGCATAAGAAATGCACCATCGAGCCAACCTCAATAATTGTAAATATTTGTTATAATAAATTATTTCAAAGTATGAATGTGTTTAGAGCGATCATTTAAAAATTTTACACAAAAATAAGTAGTGTCAGCAACCAAATGATAACATGGAAGAGAAATTTGAAATCGCAACAAATGGCAAAGAAGGAAGATTATTAAAAGATGATAATATGGGAGTAAAGAATGATAATATAGGGAAGAAAGAAGAAAGGCTATCAGGGAATAGTGATCTGAAAGATAAATTTGAAATCGTAACAAGTGTCAAAGAAAAAACATTATTATGGAAGATTGATCTAAGACTCATTCCTTTATTTACACTTATCTACACAATTTGTTTCTTGGATAGGTATTTAAGGTCTATTTATTTGCTTCATAATTTAAACTACATTAATCGCGTTGTATCTCTTTTATTAGAGTTAATATTGGAAACGCAAAGTTAGCTAACTTGGAAAGTGACCTTAATTTAACCGGATCTGAATATAATTGGATTATAAGTATTTTTTTTGTGTATGTATATCTTTTCTAGTAAAAATGAATTATCTCATCCGTCTTTTTTCTTTTTGATTAAACTTGAATTTTTATTTTCTTGTAGGGGTTATGCATTGTGCGGAGTACCATCCAATATCATAATAGCTAAATTCAGCCCTTCATTTTGGAGTAAGTTTATTCTTTTAAAAATTAGAATAATGATATAATAATATCATAAATAATTATATAATACTATACTACATATGCTTTTCTTCTTATCATTTCTAATTTGGTAGTTTCATCACTTATGGTCGGATGGGCACCGTAGTGATATCAATGACTTTCGTAAGTATTAAATATTTCTTTTATAACCGTAGTAATTTTTGATTCTGAATTATTATTCCTATTATTTTCCTGTTTAAGGTGAAAAATTATTTTCAACTATTGTTTACAAGCTTTTTATTAGGAATCTTTGAAGCTGACCTTTTTCCTGGTATCATATTTTATATTACAAAATGGTATAAAAGATCTGAGCAAAGTTATCGAACTAGTGTGTTTACCTCTGGTTGCGTGATTGCTGGTGCATTCAGCGGATTTACGGCATTCTATGTGATGGGTTTGGATGGTACCTTTGGTCTGAGTGGTTGGCAATGGGTACCATAAATTCTTATTTATTCGTTGTAATTATTGATTATTTGATTTTTATTTCATTTTATGTTTGTTAAAATTTAGATCTTTCTCATTGATGGTTTGATAACAGTTTTGGTTGCATTTTTTTGCTATTTTTTGATCGCCAATTATCCAGAGACTGCTAGATGGCTTACAGATGATGAACGCAAGATGGTTATTAATCGTATACAGATTGATTCAGGACAAATTTCTATAACTAATCAAGATAACTCTCAGATTTTCGAGGCTTTTAAAGATTGGGTAAGTTCACAGATATTAGATTAAAATCAATTAATGCTATTAACTCGTTTTATTATTTGCTTGTTAGAAAGTCTATATTTCCTCAATTATATATTTT